AATGCTGTAATAAATTGTTTGCATCTTTTATGTGAGAGACTTGTGAGCCTTATATTTAATGTCTACTGATTATTTGAGATAAATTAATCGGAAACAGCCAAATATATGCAAAACATTTGTCTAAGCACTTTCCGCCGATTGGAAAAAAAGGGATATTGTAGAAAAAGCTATTTGATGCTGCCATTGCCATCTGCCATTCTTTATAAATAAACACAGCGTTGTAAATATTTGGTTTTGCCTCTATAACGTTTGAATTGCTGTGGTACAAGTAGTTCGTTGCACTTTGGAGACAAATTGAAACGGTCCAAGTAGACCTTTTCTCCCTGTTTTCTCTCTACTGAAAAGCAGTTTTAAATATTTGTATTAAAAATATTCGTGCACTCATAAGGTTGGTATCTTTAGAAACAAAATAAAATAGTGTATAATATTTTAAAACAAAAATGTATTGTTAGAGGGGGAGGGTATAGCTCTAGTGGTAGAGTGCATGCTTAGCATGCATGAGGTCCTGGGTTCAATCCGCAGTACTTCCTGTAAGAATAAATAAATAAACCTAGTTACCTCTCCCAAACCCCCCAAATATTTTTAATGTAGTATTATTAAAGGAAGAAAAGATTACTTTAATTTGGACAAATAAAAAATTGGAAACACTATTCAGGAATATGTCCCTCTTGTTGCTCACAAGATTCTCATTGCTAGTAATCAGGAAGAAACTTTCTTTTTGATTCTCCTAATTCTGCTTTGGAAGTTTTAATGGTAACATAATTATTTCAGGGGATCTGTTTATGTGGATCACATCCACAATAGGCATTGACTCTATTGTTGTAATAGAAATTCAAAATAGAGCTTTCATTTGATCATTTATAATCTAGCCAGTGACTCAGGAACACCTCCAGTTTCCTGCATCCTCTCACTCATATATAGAAACAGTTTTTAAAAATAAAAAGACCATTTTTTTTAAAAAAGAATACAAATAAGAATTTTGATATATCCCAAGTCTTATGTCCTTTTTTCTCTTGGTATACACAACAGAAGAAATATTATATTCATTTATTGATACTCAGTTTATTTCAAAACCTACAATTCTAGGAACCTACAATAAGAATAATCCTGTTTGTCTGGAGTTTTACAATTCATCAAATGCTTTGACATCCATCATTTTTCTGAGGTTATGTGTCTAGCTGAGGTCATTCAGAGAAGTGAAAAAACCAAACACTCAATGAAAATATTACCAAATCAATTTTTACCTCAAATGGCTTACAAACACACTCTACCAGAATTAAACTGTATTCCCTCCACTCTGCCAGGTGGACAGACCTATTTAGCTAATTCGGTTTTCCAAGTTTTATTTTACCAATTATTTTGTAATAAGCTTTAAATAGAATCGGAATCATTATAATTCTCCTACTGTCATACTGAAAAATTGGCAGATCTTCCAAAATAGCCATTGGTTGAATAAGCGGCACGAGTTGGAAAATCTGAAAATGTTGAATAGCTAAGTATATATAAGCACATTTAAAGTAGATTAAAAAATTTTTAACTTCATCCAGGTTCATATTTCTAAGAGCCAGATGACTGGAATAACATTTTAAAACAATAAAACTCAGAAATGGCACCATTAAAAAATAATAGTGTAATGTTTACAACATAGCACATAGAAAAATAAAGAATAAATAATTTTAGTACTAAAGGCATAGAATACCAGTGATGAACAGTCCATGAACACCATGAACATTGATGTTGGAAATCACTGGCTAAAAGCTTATTTTGATATTTTTACTGAGAATTGTAGAGTGAAAGTGGCAAGGTTTCAAATAAGAAGAAAAAAACAAAACTATTTTTTCCCTGTATTTCAGAGCTCTGAATCTAACCAGATCACTTGAGGGAAATTTGTAAAAATACAAAAAAACCTAATGTGGTAAATAAATAAATTTGAACTAAAATTTGAAATAATAAAGAGAGGAGACAGAGGAAAATTAGATCCACATTGATTCCACAATCAACTAAGAGGTAGTTCTTGTGAACAGAATTTAAGTTTAATTAAACATTTGTAAATTAAGACAAAACAACTGACATAGGAAGTCTATGAAAGAGAACAGTTTATTCATTAGCAATTGTTTTCCTTATTAAAATGCACTTCCTCTGGGGCAACTTTCCAGGCTATTTCTTTTGTTAAGTACATGATATTATTCTTTTGATAGGAGTTATCAAATGAGCCAGGAATATGTATCATCTCTAGTGCTCTCCTGAAGCCTGCTTTTTGCTAGAGAAACAGATTTTGTGTTTGTTCTATAATTTTACTGAATGTCTGAAAGTTATGATAAAAAGGTGACCTTTACTTATAGAGTAGCATTACAATATAGCTCTTCTGATTCCATGAAATCTTGTGTCCAGTGATATGCTTTATACTCCGTGTTAAATTTGGAACGTTGTATTGGGTTTAAGCACCTAGAAATTCATTGGATAATAAGAGTATCAACATAAAGAATGAATTCTGTCAAAAATGTGTTTCAGATTTCTAATTTTTATAAAAAATAGAGTTAGCCTCAGGATCTGATTACTGGTAAGTCTTAACTGGTTTGTGCCACGTGACATACACTCATTAATAAACATAAACATTTGTTAAGACCAGGCTGATGAATGAGAATCACTGCTTCAGTGATGGGAGAAATTAAATAGATTTTGTGAGTGAGGAGATTTGAGGGTGGTGTGGGATGAGAGGGTAGGAAGGTTTAGTTTAGTTCCACTGAATGCTTTTATCATATTTTCATGAGGCCAAGTTAAATATAAAGATTATAGTTTAGAGAATTGGTGTTCAATTTAAAAAATGAGAATTGGAGCAGAGTTGTTATAAGGCTTTACTGTTTGGCTTTGACAAGTTAATCATTAGACATAGAACTCATAGAGTCCAGTAGTGAAAACTTAGTCCAGTGTTTGGAATACCGTAGCAACAGGAGAAGCTGAAGGGAATCTGATTCATTTGTGTAAATAAGATGTGACTGAGAAGTTCAGTCTACATGTTGTTGGAACCAAGTAAGTCCATGCATATTGTCTGGTGGCACTGGAAAAGAAGTTATGCAATTGTGATTGTCTTAGGAAAGCAAAAGGTGTAATAGTACCACTAATGACTCTCTGATATCTCTGGTACAAAACGCTACCCTTCTTCTTAATCTAGCTCACACTCTAACCTAAAAAATAATTGGTATATTGAAAATCTATTCTTTTGAAATTTTACTCAAACATGGGGATTTTTAATGTATCGCTACTCTTGTGCTGTTGTTTTTTGTACAAGAGGGACACAATGCATTTGCAGGAATGCTTGGTTTTCCCTCTCACCTTTTATTTGCTTTCTCTGTGTCCACATTATTTGCACTCTTGATCAAAGCTTCAGTGAATACTCTGGAGTGTTAGGGAAAGTATATTTGCTTGTTTCGTAAGAGCTGACCCCAACTGTTTCTAAGTTACTGGCCTCTCTAGGTGGTTATTTGCCATTGCTCTGGACAAGTGTGAGGCATCAAGACGTGAGCATAAAGGGAGAGAGTGTTTCCTTTCCTTGGGGAGCAAGTGCTAAGAATCCTGTAGTGGGTTTCTGAGATACTCTGGTCACAGGGAGCAAATTACACACAGCAAAGGGACTATTCCACCCCCTCCCCCACATATATGAGAACATTTTGTTGTGTGAAAAATTCACAATTCTAAAATAAAATGAAGTCCTTTTGTGTATATCTAAGAGCAGGAAGAAAACACAACTATGATTAAATGAAAGCCCTTGTTTTGTATTCTTTTTGTAGGTCTTTATTTCAAAAACATACGTACCTTCCAGTGACCACTACATAGTACAAATTCTGTGTTAAGAAAATGTGGTGTATGGATTGTTTTCATTCTTCCAATTCATTAAACGTGTATGGAATTTATAGTTGTAGTAAAACAATGTGCTGAGTTTTGAGGGAATAAAAGATGAGAGAAATCCTGACCTGAATGAATATTTAAATACCCTAAAAGGATTTAAATAGAGTATTTTTCAAGTACACAGATATATTACAGGCAGTATTCAGAAGCCTGAACAATATTAGTATAATTTACTCTATCATTATTCTCTAAATAACTTGAGACTAATTGATTTTAATAGCACAAGTAATCAAATTACAAATTAATGTTGATATTAAACAACTCAACATTTTCAAACAAAATGACATAAACCTTTATAACTTGTAATTAAAGGATTATTTTCCACATTAAGTTGCTATTCAGGAAATTGTTAGGGTACTATAAAATAATAAATGTACATGAGTTTTCCTAATGATAAATTACTGACACAGAAATTGAGTCAGCTAATATTTGTCTGTGCTTAACAAAAATCATGTAATAAAATGCTAAACAAAAATGAATATTTATAGAGGAAACATAAAGTCTAGTTAAGTTCCAGACACATTTTCATAATAAATCTCCCTTATAGTAACACCCTTGAAATTAGAGTTTGAGAAAAGTAAATACATCACAATTGAAAAAAAAATCAGGGTTTTAAAGGCAAAGGAAAAAATGATATTACCTAATAACAGCAACTTTACTGTTCTTGCATCTCGCTCAGCATCTTCCTGAAGCTTTTTCTCTAGTTCTTTGGATCTTTTGGCTGAGTCCTTGCCCTCAGAACTAATTCCACTTCCCATCTTGCAGTGTTAGATACTGGTCAGTGTATCTGCTCAAACTTCTTAAAATGTCAAGCAGAGCTCTGATTTGGACATAGGGTGCAAAAGCAGTGCTCTGCTGACGTCCCTGACAGCCCATTCCCTCCTCTCCAACACTCTGCTTTGACTAAGGTATTGCTTTCCCAGCTGTCACCTGATCAAAGGGTAAAACTATACAACCATAGGGTTGTGTGGTTGATAGCTAAAGAGGAAATTCATTATGCTTTCAAGTAAATGATAACTTCTGGCACATCTTCAAAATCCTGCTCATCTTCCTTAGAGGATAGCATACAATAATGCAGAAAGTTTTTAAAATCTGTCCGCTAAAGATAATCTGAAATGAGCAGTTCAAATGGCATATTTCTCACTAATAGGCAATCTTTGCTACATGATTTAAAGTTACTGTTACTAATCAACAAGCTTGCATCTTATCTTCAGCTATCTGGGTCTTCAAATTCTTTGTAATTGCTCCAGTATCACTCTCAGAATATTTATATTGAATCATCCAGATTTCTAGTCTTTCTATGCTTAGGTTATGATTCAGAATGATTGAGAATCTTTTAGTATCTGTCAGTTAATTAGAAAATACTTAAAAAAATGGAAACAAATATATGTAGTTCTTACATCTGTACACATTGTTGTATTGCCAAACAGAATGCAACACACAAGTCCCCTAAATTACTGATTTTAGTCTCATGGGATAGATCTCAATAAATTGAGCTTTTACTGCTTGTGAGAAAGTCAATCCGTCAACATTAATTGAGAGTCCACTTGGTATAGACCCTGAAATATGTTCGATTTATGCAGTGCATTAACTCTTTGGGGCCCTTAAGCAACAGCTGCTGTGTTGGAAGGACTTTTATTGATTTGGTACCAAGGCAATAAAAAGCAGTGTTCTTTGAAAGAGTAGATCATTTGCTTCTTGAAAAGTAGGAGCAGTAAATACACCTAAATCTGTTCCATGCCTTTTGACTATCCCAACAGATGTCATGTCCTTCTTCAAGATCTTTAAGCTTGGGGGCAGAGATTCTGTTGTAAAAAGTTTTTGTTTATATGAAGCATAAAACACTTAGACAGTCAAGTGATGTTTTCCTTATGAAGCAAGTTGGCTACCTAGCAGCAGGCAAATCTCTCAGTACACATTTTTGGATTTATGAACGTGCGTAACCAGGAAGTGCTGGAATACAGTCAGTCCATCAGCATGTCGGTGCTGTTCTTGTGGGATCATCGGCAACGGCTGAACAGGTGGGTTTTTGTATATTCATAGAACAAGGAAATAGTCTGCCAAATTCAATACATAGCCTGCTTTGTTTACTTTTTCACATGAAGTATTCGTCTGCCAATACATAAGCATAGTCAAAACTTTATGGATTTCATCCTTCCAAAGCCGTGTTATGACAGTGTAAAGATATGGAAAGATAGGTATGCAAGAATCCATGCAAATTAAGTGGTGTTGCTTTTACTATGCAAAGGGCCTGCCCCAAAGGAACAAGATTTACACTGACTGTTTTATTTATAGTCACCCCTGAAAATGTAGTCCATGCTAACAGCAACACAAAATGACACAAACATTAAAATAAATCTCTTTTTGCCTTTTGTTTTTACATCAACATTAAATATACAGAGTACCCTGAGTATAAAAGACTCTTCTATGTTCCATAGCAATTATGAACTGGTAATACTCTTTGTATAATTTGCATTCAAGTAAATATACCCCATAGCTTTTTGGTGGGGACATACCCCAGCTTTGAAAGAGGATGCATTTTACCAAGACTTCTAAGTGGGTTACTGACAAAAACTGACCTGGTGCCTGATTTCAGAAGTAGTTCATTTTCTGCACTGTTTGAAATTATAAATTTTTACTTTTCCATGTAACCCAGAATGTTTAGTCATCAACTTTGAGAGTAAAGTACGTGGAGTTTTTTTTTCCATCGGTGACTAAAGTAATCATGACATAAAATTCAAGATGGATCTATATTTAGGATATGCAGGCTGGGGAGAGCCAGAGAGGAGATAGGCTTCTTTCTCAGCCTCCTCCCCTGGGTGCCTGGGACACAGCTTCACTAATGAGCTGGACTTGTTAATACTTAATCCATGTTGCTTCACTTAGGACGATGGCTTTCTGGACCTAAGATAAAGATGAAAATGAAATAGTAAATTCTGCTAGAGTGAGGACAGTGTCTTATTAGCTTAGATGCCCTACATAGTATTGGGCACAGTGCTGACATCACAAATGTTCAAAAGTTATTTCTTGTAATAAATTTATGGAGACCTGGGGCCTTTTGTGTGTGTGCTCTGCTGAGGTGACAATGTGGTTAGGGTTTTTTTCCAAGGTTCAGTGTCATGGTGGTTCCATCTTAACACCCTAGAAATTTTAGAGTGACTCAAAAAAATCAATGAAAAACCCAATTTTAGTCTGAAATAGTGTCAATATATACAATTACAACTGTTAGCCCAATATTTACACTTTTTTCCTAGCCTTCAAAATACACCAGCACATTCTTTTTTTATGTTAAACCTTGTTCCATAGTGAGGAAAAATTAATCGAAGATGACAACATGAAAAGTTAACTAAATTAGATGTTTTTGTTCAAGGAAAAATGTGGCCATAATTTTAGTTTGTTCTTGAAAACAAAAAACATAAAGCTTTCCAAGACACTATCATTTAAAGTTTTATATATTGACCAGCTCGGTAGATTGCTCTGTGTACACACACACACTTGAACAATCCACACCCACCACACACACACACACACACACACACACACTTGAACAACCCACACCCACCAGAAAGCAAGAGGCCCTGTGTTGGAGCATCACAGTCTTTTAGAATAATTAATGAAAATTACTGAGAAGAATGTAGTTGTCTTTTTAAAAAAGATCACAGTGTCAGCCTGATTGGGAACAACTTTGGGTACCAGGCTGTGCAAGGAAGAAAATTGAGGAGGTAGAATACAGGGAGTGAGCCCTCAGCTGTGAAGGTCACTGAAATACCACATGTTTGCCCAGTGTGAATATTTTTTTCCTCTTGCTATTTTTGGTCAGGGTCTCTGTGGAATCTTCAGATTAGGACATAAGCCTTTAAACAGTTTTAGTAATCACTTGTACAGACTGCTATCTGTATATTCTTTGTTTCCATATCTTATAGGATGTGTTGACTTCAGGCATTGGGTCCTGAGTGGTTTGAGCCCTGGTTCCCTTAGCAGTGACCTTTATGCTTAGATATTCCCATGAAATTTGAGGCAAAACATCCCTTCTTTGCTAATGGTACTCAAATATGCACTTCTGGGAGCTGTGTGCATGGCATTTCCTCCAGAGAGTTCATGTCTTTGGGAACATCCTGAGAGCAATCTTTTGACCTTGAGGGAGTAGGGCAAAACTTGCTGTTTCTAGTTAGCACATTCAGCTGGTGCAATAAATTTACAGTGCCAACATTAAGCAGCTCTTATGTCCTAAGAGGTAATAAAAAAAATACATATTTTTATTCATCAGAGTAGATTTCTACTTTATTCTACATACTCTTCTTAATGGGTTAGAATGATTTTCCATTATGATTATTGTAAATAAAACATGTTACAAGCCTAATTAACAAAGAAGATGAGAGTCATAATTATTTCCCAAGGGGCCTCTTTCTGTCCCCAATTCTGTCTCTTTTAAGATTTTTAAAAAATTATCTCTGTAATGCAGCATTTCCACTACATACTCTCCTAACCTTATTCCTCAGTAAATTTAGCTCTGATTATTGCAACCACCTCTTACTTAGGTTTCTGATTCTAGTCTCTGCCCTACCCCAGTCTAACCTGTCAATTTGTGCCATGTTAAACTACCTCAAACCCAAGTTTCGTTATATTACTTTTCCTGTTGAGAAAACACAGAACTTCTTATTTATTACTGCCTCCTGTATTAACCCTACTCAGTAATCTAGTTAGCACCATCAAACTCTCCAAATGTATTTTCTATCACTTCTCAGAACACATTCTCTATAACATCTGGGCTTTTCTCTTTCTAATTTAGGTGTCCCAACTTAGCTTTTGCTTACTTTTTCCCCCTTACCTGGAATATCTTCTCTACCATAGCTGATTTTTCCCCATATACCCATTCTTTAAGAAAGAACCTATATGTATATTCTCCACTCTGTTTCACGTTTACTAACCCCCATTAGGTGGTTCTTTACTTTCCAAGCCCTAAGAGGAATGTGCTGCTGATCAGATTATCCTTCCTCGTTACTTCTCTTCTGTTTGCAGGCTCTAAGCTGAGGGTATGTAGAAGAACATCTTGTTTATTGAAATAATTGGTGAATAGTGAGTGATCAATAGATACAAGCTGTTTGACAGCTCTTTACACCATCTTGGAAATGCAGGATTCTCCTTCTCAAATGATTGCAGATGTGAAATGTAACCTCTAATATTTGCAGGAATTCATTTATTCAACAACTAATATATTTAACAATTGTTATGTACCGGGCATGGGAGATTCAGCAGGAAGCAAATTAGATGCTGCCTGTCACAGAGGTGAAATTCTACTGTGTGTGTAGGGGGTTCACACAGAAAATAAATGCAATACATATTTAAAGTATATAGAATTACAGATGGTGACAAGTGTTAAGGAAAAAAAAAAGAGAATGGACATAAGGACTATGGGGTTGGTGGTGAGGATGAGATATGAGAATTTTAGACTTTATCTAGGAAAGACCAAACTGAAAAGGTGATTGTTTTAGATCAAGTTCCATACAAACTGACTTTAACATGAAAAATGCCCTCAAAAAGTTTATTGGAAAGTGTCCTTTGGAAAAATCCATGTAAGTGAGTGAAGGAAGATAGAATATTGGCAGAAGGGGAAATTGGAGTGCAATGTAGTTGCAGCAGGGAACTCAGCCAACCCTACAGGGAGCTTCAAAGCTGCGATGGTCCTTGAGATTTATACTGAAATGGAGCACAAAGACTGGAGCAGTAAAACCTGTTTAAAAACCATAACAGCTGAGGACTGAGTAGGGCAGTAACAGAGGCTTCCATCTGACATTCTTCACTATGCTAACTCCTAGTGTACAAGCCAAAAAAGGAATTCTGCCATGTATATTCATTCCAACTGCCACATATGTTCATTCTGAGTATACATTCACGG